GTACCCAGCCATACCCAACACACTCACAGAGCTTGGCCAGGGCGATAAGGGAGGTGTTGACGGCCAGGGACAGCTCGATGGGCAGCTCAGGGGGCACGACCGAGGTGAGGATGAGGGTGCACTCCAGAAACAGCTTGTAGCGGTTCCGGCTGGGGTCCCTGGTGCCTGTGGAGACAGGGCCTGCCAGCCTGGGGCCTCAGAGGCAGTGCTGCAGGGGCTGGTGGGGGCCCTGGTGCTTACCTTCGATCCACACATAGGCAGCGGCAGCAATGGCAAACACCAGGAGGAAGAGGATGAAAATGAAGGTCTCCAGGTTGTTTGCGGTCACCCGCTTGACCCCAAAGAGGATCGTGCGCAGCAGCTTGCCCTGGAGGGACAGAGGACAGCCTTTCTGCTGTCCGGCTACCACCAGAACCTGAGGCCTGGTCTTGGGCTGGCCTCTGCACCCTGGCCCCGGCCGAGGCACTTGCTACAAGCTCGAGCCTGTGGGCTGGATGTTTTGGGGTCTGAAGGGTGATGGCTTGAATGTCCCCCACTCACCCTGGGGCCCAACCTCCCCAGATCCAGGCAAGGCCCCACACCTGGGACGTGTTGAATCCGGTCCGCAGGACATAGGCCACGCACCCGTTGTCGACCGCTGGGGAGACAAGCAGAGCCACTGTCATTCCTGTCTCCTGGTCCCGACTCCCTCATGATCAAGCAGATATGGGAGCAGGCAGTGGAGGCCAGGATACCCCCCCGACACCCATGAGGCACCTACGCTTCAGGCCTGTGGTGGCTTTCTGTGGGGGGATGTGCTGCACCACCTTAGTGCCCCCAAAGATGACGTGGAGCCGGGAGTCAGCCTGGAGGTCCAGCACCCGGTCTGGGCTGAGGTCTTCGATTGGCTCCTGGGGAGGAAGGTGGAGAACCTGGATGGCTGGGGCCACTGTCTCCTTCTCCATCCTTGGAGAGCTGGCCGTGCGGCTGCGATGAGCCAGCCTGACCCTCACGGCGGTCCCTTCTGCACCCAGCACATCCCACCCAGGCCCCATCCTCACTGGAGGCAGCATCCCATCTTCTCTCCCCCCGCACCTGCAGCGCCCACTCCCTGTGACCCCACACCTGGCCTCTCCCAGGACTCACCCCCTTCTCTCAGTCCACCTTGGTCTGATACCCCGGGGCACCCACAGATACCCTGGCTGCCCTTGGCTTCTCTCAGCTCCTTCCTTCCTACCACCTCCCAGCTCCGCTGTCTATGGCACTCACCCAAGCCCACCCCCAGCCCACCCTCTCCTGCCCTGTTTCCTCCCGAGTAGCTTGAGGACCCCCCCACCTCCTGCCACGCACTTTCATTTGGGGCACCGACTCCCCCGTGAGCATGGCCTCGTCCACGATGCAGCGGCCCCGCAGCAGCAGCACGTCGCAGGGCACCAGGTTCTCCTGTGGGGAGCGGCCTGCGGGGCAGGGCAGGAGGGTTGGCCAGAGGCCCCTGGGCAGGGCCCCCACCTGGATCCAGGGGAACTGGGCCTCACCGATGGAGACAATGTCCCCAGGAACAATCTCGTCACTGGCGATGGGCCTCCACTTGCGGCTTCGGTAGACCTGGGGGGTGAGGGGTGGCAAGTGTCAGCACGGAAGACGTGTCTGCGCCATGCCCACCCCCAGCCTGGGCAGGACTCTCCCCGCCACGCGCACCTGGATCATGTGGGGCTTGTTGCCCATCTTCCGGATCTCCGACATGTTCCGCATCTGCTGCTGCACCAGGGAGGCTTCAAACGCCACCAGCATGGACAGCGTGAAGACGCTGTAGTACCAGTACTCGTCTAGGCACCAGAGTCCCACGCAGAACACCTGTGGGACAACAGCCTGTCTGTCCTCACCCCACCCGTTCTGTGCCCCAGGAGCCTCCTCTGTTCACAGGCTCTGACCCATGAGGACAGGGACATGTTTTAGGGGCTTGGAAGTGGCGGACAGGTTTGCCCTGGCTATGAAAGC